TTAGTCTTGAAGGCAATATCAAAATCCTGGAAATTCTTGCATGCCTTTTCATTCGATTTAGGGTAGAACACAGACCCAGCCATTGATCCTCCATAGTCAGGTACACCAAAATTCCCAATTGCACATTCATAAACATCTTTCATTGAGTCCGGTGACGTCACCTTGAAAATATTCTTCTCGTTTGAGCATCAACGACGCTCACAGGGCAAAGGCGAAATCATTGAGAAGTTGCTCGAAACCTTCAAAGGAAAGAGAGACAAGGTCGAATACAAAGGCGAAAGAGGGGGGGAATAAAAAAATTGAGCAAAAATTGAAGATATGTGTAATTAATCTGCTGCAATACCTATCGATTTACTACCTGGGAACTTGAGGTGCAATAATGTTTATTCGGAAGGGACAGCACAAGGGAGGCGGTGGGGGGCCAGAAGCTGGATGTGGAGGCAAAATTTGTAGGCGCCGACCACCAGGTGGGAGCTCAGCATCGATCGAAGAGGCGGTGGCCGCCGGCCGAGGCGGCGGTGGCGGGCGGCAGCAGCGGGCGACCAAGGAGGAGCAATTTAGAGATTTGGTGGAAACGACGTCGTTCTGCAATGAGCAGAATAAAAGAAAAGAAAAAAATGAAGCACACGCGTCGCGGTCGAGCTACTTCAAAAATAAAGGGAAAAGAAAAGATTTGAAAACGCTGATTGGTTAGAGTGAAGGGAACGGCACCGTTTCAGCCTTAAATGGGCCAAAAGTAAATGAAAAATAAAAGGTTTAAAAAAAAAGGGGTCTATCCCCATATATATATACTTAATATATATATATATATATATATATATATATATATATATATATATATATGAAACTAGCTAAAAAGGATAAAAACCCAAAGAAAGATCCATTTTTTAATGTTAATATGAGATTTAGCTGGAAATATATTTTGTTCAAATTCTAGGCAACGATTATGCTCCGTCGTTACCTCTCTCCCCTCTCGCTTTCTCTCGGGACCGCCGCCGCCGGTGGCGAATTTTCACCGTAGCACACAGTGTCCGTGTGGATCTGGCTTTTCTCATTTAGGTAAGATTTTTTTTTTTTTTCTTTCTATTTTTATTTCTTCTCTTTCTGTGAATGTATGGGTATATATAGTAATTGTTATTTGCCCAATCGCCCTTCTAGACTGTCTTCTGTGTATTTTTTTCTTATCTTGGATTGTCATTTTATCTTTTTTTATTTCATATATTTTTTCGAATTGATGGGATTTACTTGATTCCATGTTCTGACCTAATTTTTTATTTTTTTCCCCAAAATTATACAGATTCTTCTTAGGATCGGTTTGGGTAGTACTGCCTCTATAGATCTTTGAATGAGATTATTTTTTGCAATTGTTGCAATTTGCAAGTATGTTCACACACAAACACACACACACACACACACACATATATATATATATATATGCACACACATACAGAGAGGGGCTTCTTTATTCCAAAAAATGCTTAAAGAATCAAGCAAGAAAGTATGTGGACATTTGCATCTCTAACCATTATTTAGTAACAACTGCAAAAAAATGTAGCTTGTTGTAGGTTTATTACACGAGTATGCGTCGTAGAAAAATTAATATCGGGCTTTAGATATTACTACATTGAGTTGTCTATGTAAATGCAATTAAACCTCTATAAATCAATACTGTCGGGACCAGGGAAATTCTATTAATTTAGCGAATTATTAAATTATCGAGTTAATAATTTAACACGCTTTCACCGAGTGGGGACCGGGAGAAACTATTATTTAATCGAGGTTCTACTGTATGCAAACTTTTGATTAGACCCTTCAAATTCTTGAAACTCTTATGCAGGTTGCACTACTTATTATGCTGCGTGAAGTAGAAGGTAGCTTGCTCGTCGTTAAAAAGCTAAACGAAAACAGAGAGGTACGAACGAGCGAGATCGCGACCTCCCTTTTGAAGCAGCTATCACATTTCACTAACCTGCAAAAACGGCTACTTAATCGAAGTGACCAAACTGATTAGCATAGGGAATGGGGAGTGCAAGTTCAGCCCCGCAGTACATCATTTTTCCTGGTGAACTTCCTCTGCAATTTCTTCACGCCCGTCGAGGGGGAAGTGATGGACGGGGTAGTGTATAGAGTAATCGGGGGCGGTGTGTTTATCAAGTCCGGACCGATGAGTTATGTCTATTTATCGGACCGGAAGATGCCGAATTACAATTACGTTTTGGGGGAGAATCGAAACCCGAGGTATGTGGGGGTAGATTTGTCCAGGATTGAGATTGGTGTTTTGGTTCGATTTAGGGTTTTGGCTGCTAAGTGGGTGGAGGATAAGTATAGGGAGTTTCGAGTTCTTGCGAGTATTGATGGCGATGGGCTGGGCCCGGTTTCGATGAACGGGTTTGACGGTGTCGATTATGAAATGCCTTGCAGCAATATTATATAATATAGTTTGGTGAAATATTTATATATGTTGCTTTTGTAAATAAAGTTTTAGATGAATGTGTGCTCATAGTTGCAAGATTGTGTACTTAATTTGTTTCAAATTAGTTTTCGTATAAGATTTTGGCACCCGGCTTGTTTCGTTATATATATATCGGATAAGTTTATATTAGATGAGATTGGATTAATTCTATATTGAATAGTTACCTATTTAACTAGTAAGATAAGATTCGATATTGTACTAAATTTGTTAAATTCTGGTATTATATGTAATAATTAATATGACTATAAAACTTTTTATTTGAAGGATAAAATAGATTTTTTATTTGTTTATCACCTCCTATAAATTTAATCTCGAGGGGACAAATGCTACTAGTTTAATGAAATAATAGCACTTAATAGCCGGACTTTTAGTTTTGTAGCAAGGTTGAGTAAATACGAATTTCGTCAATCGAATGTCTTACCAACTCCTACTATTTAGTCAATAAAGCATAAGAGCAGTAACCTATATAACATGGCTAAAAATGACTTTTCTTATAATTATATTCCTTTTGTGTTTTTTAATCATTATTTGAAATGATTTAACAATTTTTTATTTTTTTTAGAGGATGATTTAACAAAATTGGAAAAAATTGATTAATGTATCATTGAAATTTTAAAAGTGAACGGCAAAAGAATTACAAAATAATCTCTTAAAAATATAAGAAATATTAAAAATATCTTATATATAAAAGAAAGAAACGTTGGGCAATCTTAGAAAAATCGTAATGATATTTTTGTAATTATTTATTTTTAATATTTTTTCTGTACTAATTTTCAACAATTATCAATCTCCTATTTTTTATCAATATATCTCAAATCTTAATATATAAAGATAGAAATTCGATTTGTTAAATCTAAACCTATATATTTGGATTATAAATTTTAATATGTAAGATTTAAAAACACTAATGTTATATAAAATATGAATAATACTACATTATTAAATTTTACTATGTTAATGTTCTATATTTTCTTATTATGTATTAAATTAAATTTTTTTTTCAGTTTTTAAATAATATCCCGTGCACGGGAACAAATTATAAAATAAGAATAATAAAGAGAATATTTAGCCTTTAAATAATTTTTTAAAAGTAATTCTTATAATTAACCAGCTTGCCCTAAAATTACAAAATATGAATCTTGATTCTTCAATGGTAAAAGGGGTGGGTAAATCGCTATTCTCGAGACCTCCACTAAATTAAAATTGCGCTCCCTCGCTTAACACGCTCCCCCCCAACTGAGCAGGGTTTACAGATAAATTTCGGAAATTTTCCTTCTCACTAGAAATTGTTTGATGCATTCTCTCTCTAACAGGTAGCTGTTTTTTTTTCTTTCTTTTATTACATATCTGCCCCGCATCAATTTCTGCAATAATGCATAAAGCTTGAATCTTTTACCTTTTCTCTGTGTGTGTGTGTGTGTGTGTGTGTGTGTTCAGTTCTTGAAATGGGTTTTCAATGTTTTCCATGTATTTTCTTTCTGCTGTGTGTTTGATGCAGCAAAAATATTGAATTTTGTTTTCTGATGATCACTTGGGCTTTTTAAGTTTATTTTGTGCTAATTCATGAATTGGGTTTTTCTTAAAGCCCTTCTTTCTGAAGTAATTTGTACTGTTTCCCCCCTAATTGAGGTGGGTGGATATGTATATTTACTACTGTTTTACAAGGGTTGAAGGTGTAGTGTAAAGTTAATATCATTGTTCTTATCATTAATTAAACAAGCTTACGCTTTTAATCTTCGCTACTCGATTCATATCTTGGAAGATTTCGGAAAAGCCCTTACCACAAAGAAACTGTTGTTATTTATTGCTGATCAAGAATTTCGATATTTATCGTATACGTAATAGTGTTCTTAAATGCACGACAGGTACTAATACTATCGCGAAAAGAAAAAGAAAATGTTTCTTCAATCGCAATTGTCGTGGAATGTGGTGGTCCCCGCCGAAAACATCGACGCCGAAGGACTAATGCTGCAGAAAGCCATTCTGATTCGGCTTCTAGAAGACTTTTCGTCCAGGAAGGCATTGAAAGAGATAGGCTACTTAACCGCGGTCACAACCCTAGACCACGTAGGAGAGGCTACGGTGAGGCAGCACACGGGCGATCTCCTCTTCCCCGTCGAATTCAGCTGCATCACATTCAAGATGTTTCCCGGTGAAGTCTTGGAAGGGGTGGCCCACAGCGTTATGAAGCAAGGGGTTTTCTTGAGATGTGGGGCCGCTGAGAAAGTGTACGTCTCTCCTAGCAAAATGGCCGGGTACAAGTTTGTGCCCGGCGAGAATCCCGTTTACAAGAACGACGAAAAATCGTTGAGAATCGAAAAGGGTACCAAAGTTCAATTTTTGGTGCTCGATGAAAAGTATGATGAGATTGAGAGGGATTTTCGGGCGGTGGTTAGCTTGGAGGGTGAATTTCTTGGCCCTATTTTAATTTAGGGGTAATTACAACCAGATCCCTTTAAAATGGGGAAATTACGGTGTTTTCCCTCTCTTTTTTCGTAATTATTATTGCCTCCCTCTCTGTATTTCCGATGTTTACGCGTAGTAGTGAGCAGGAAATGTGATATGAAGTGTTGGGATTTTTGTAAGGGAGCAAACTTGGATTGTAGAAGGAGAGGGGGGATTATGTAATTACGTTATATTAGAGGGGTCTGATTGTAATTATCTCTAGTATTGTGTGTGATCTTTGATGTTAGTCAAGAATACTACTTCAACAAGTGTGGTTTGCTTTGTATTCAAGAAACATTTTAAAAATGTTTTTGACAACTCTGCTTAGGAAGTATTACTAATTATTCATTAAAATTAGGGCAAATCACGGGACCCCTAAGGTAAGGTTAAATTATGAAAAATACCCTCATGTTTGGGTAATTACAACGAACCCCTGAATTAGATATGCATAATAAACATATTACATTTTCAAGAATGGAGTATCAAAATATTTGATTTGATTTAATATATTTATAGAAGATGCTCCTCACTCAACTTTTTGCTGTCTTTTATATTCTTTAAAGATTCTCATCATCAAGGTATAAAGGTTGCAAAAGAACCTGAATAATTAACTTGCATGTGAGGAATCTCTATAAGCAAGTTGTGCAAGCATGTGTTTTAATTTAATTTTTAGGTGAAATTAGTGTCAATCAGGTCTAATTACGAAAAAATCCCTCTTATTTGAGTAATTATAACCACCCTTTAATTATGTATTGCTTTACGAAAAAACCCCTACTTCAATAGATAGATAGGTTTGACACCATAAGGCTAACGTGTAAGACAATATATAGTTAAGGGGTTAGTTGTAATTAACAAACTATGTGGAATTTTTTTATAATCTAACCTTACATCAAATGTGACCGTAATTTGGCATAATTGTCACTGTGTTAAAAAAGACTATTTTTTAGTTAATTTTTATTCAAATTGCACCTATTTGAGGTGTATTTGTAAAATTAAAACTTCAATAATACATATTTCCTATATTAGTGAATAGGGACTAGTGTAATGCCCACCATGCAATCCAATGATATATTTTGATGTTACAACAAACATTTATTAGTTGCTCTAAAAAAAAAAAAAACAAACATTTATTAGTTAAGCCACTAGTACTAGTAAATGTGAACCATTTTAAAAATAGCTAAAAGTAGTGGTGCATTTTGCAATTAGAGAACATTGAATGAACTATAACAACAACTCCTATTTTTCATTCATTCTCTTATACATACATCACAAAAAAAATTGACCAAATCCATTTGTAGATATTGTTTCCTAACATGAACAATGTGACAATTTTTTTCTCTCAAAATTGTGAGAATTAATGGACATATTGAAATTAGTTGTCTTGTTATCTCCGGCAAAATTACCAAACATCGCCGCGAATTAATAACTGAGGTATTATTCGATTAAACAGGTCGAACTATTTTGGATGTTCGGTTTGTTGTATTACTATATCTAGTATTAAAATTGTTAAAATCTAGTACTAATATGATTTCTCGACAACAGTCACAATTTAGAAAATAACCATATCCTCAATTTGTCTCGGTTTTGGAATAAATTGTCAATTTTCTTTTCACAGTTCACTTATTCAAGCGAATGTTTATTAGTAAGAGGTTTATTTATTACATATAAATTTGATAACCAATTTTTTTTTAAATATATATAAATGTTTTAGAAATTTTGTAAAATACAACACACACAAATATTCATCAATTCCTAGTGGGGAAAAAAAAAAAAGAACACAAGTAGAGATGAGTGATGATACCTTTAATAATTGTGAAAAAAGAAGTAAAAGTGCAATTAAGCCCCCATAGTTTCATTTAAATAACTCTTACACCCCAAATATTTAACCAATCCCTACAAATCCCAAGTCCAATCAATCCTCAAAGCTCCAGTCTGCCGGACTTTGTCTTTTACCCTCCACAGCGCACACACACACACACACACACACACACACAGGGGGGAGAGAGAGAGAGAGATAGAGAGAGAGAGAGAGTGAGAGAGAGAGAGAGAGAGAGCGCGCAAGGGAAAGGTCAGATCTCTTTTGCTATTTTAATCTTCTGCGGTTTTCTGCTCAGGTAAAAACGGCACCGTATTATTGGTTAATTTTCGCTCTCCTCCGCTGCCATATTTTGCTTTCGTAGATGAGTGTGTTAATTGTGTTGGAAGAATGCAGTGTTAGTCTCTGTTAATGAGGTTGAATTGATTTGGTAAATTGATTGTGTGTGTGTGTGTGTTTTAAATGTATTGTAGTTGTATTGGGTCCGAGTTAGTTAACTTTTCCCTTTCTTTTTTCCTCCATCAAGATGTAATTTTTAGCAGATACAATTCTAAATTGGGTATAAATAACCGTGGTTAAGCGGCTCGAGTTTAGAATTTTTCGTATGAATATGCATTATTTGTCTGTTCAGAATTTTGTGGGTGAACTTCAGAAAATTTGGGGTTACTTAGTAGGATGATAACTAGGACAGGGTTTCAACAAAAATACAAACAAACAAATATATTAGGATACGAAAGTTCGGGAAGAAATAGTAATCAGTCGAAAGAGAATCATACTGAAAAATTAGATTTGCAATTGAATGTGATTTCTCTTATATTATGTTACACCATTGAAATTTTTTTGAATTTCTTGTTTTGAATTTTAGGACTTCGTTTTTGTTTGTTTCAGCTGCTCGGCTTTTCAAGTGGGGGATTAAACATCCCAATGCTTGCTCTTGGTTGCTCGGGTTTTTTCTAGGAATTAAAATTGAAAGTGAATGTGTTTTAAATAAGGGGTTTTATTAAGACAAGAAAAGATGCAAAAGGATACCGGTTCTGGTGGTACATCGACACCTACTGCACGGTTACGTCGGCGTAGAGGTTCAAACGAGGTAATGTGTCTTTTATAATTGTTTCCTATCTCAATATATAAGATAATCTATGTCCTCGTTTTAGATTTCAAGAGATTGTAAGGCAGACAATTTCAGAAGTTATACTTCCATAGTATTCTTCATGCGTAACGTAGTAATATATAGTTGTGATTATGCTGTAAGTGTAAGCAAAAAAAACTGATTAGCTTCGTATGTTAAATTGGAATAGATCCATAATTTAAACTGTTTTAGCCTTTGAATTTGCTGCTTTTAAAAATCCTCGTTTATTTGCCTTTTTCATTTCTACAACTCCAGTTCCCTCCAGAAGTTGATAGAGCAAATGGGGGCAATCTGCTTGTTAACGACAACACCAAGTACAAGTCAATGTTAATCCGGACATATTCAACGGTTTGGATGATTGGAGGATTCGCGTTAATTATTTACATGGGTCACCTTTATATTTGGGCGATGGTCGTCGTTATTCAAATTTTTATGGCTAAGGAACTGTTTAATTTGCTAAAGAAAGCGCACGAAGATAGGCACCTCCCTGGTTTTTGGCTCTTAAATTGGTCAGTAATTTAACACGTTCACCTCTCTCGAGTTTATGTTAATGATGATTTACTTTTTTGCCGTTTGGATGTTATCTCTCTGCATATGAAAAGTTAGAGTCTAGCTTCTCTAATATTCTAAGTTGTTTCGACTTTAATGGTATCTCAATTATCTTTCCGAGTTGTTTGTTTATGTTGAACTTGTTGCAAACTAGTTCCGTGATGCACAAAGCTCGTGGAAATTCAATATCATAATATATTCCTGATCTTAACTTTCTTGTAAAAATCGATGTTTTTCTTTGTTTCCTTATATTTAACATAGAGACATCAACCCTACATATATGTTCATCTTCATTCGACTAATTTTCAGGAGGATCCACTTAATTTACATTGTTACTAGCTTTTCTTCAACATTTGAAGCCATGAGAACAAAATTAGCAGTTATTAGCTAATAGGTCAAAACTAGTTGTTCGAAACTTTGTAGAGTTGTATGTAAAGCTAATATGTCATGTGACAGATGATATTGAACGTTAACTACAAATTGTCTGTGATGGGGTTCTGTACCTTATACTTGAATTTGGAACCAATAAATCACATATAGTTTATGCTTGAATTGGATTTGATTTTTGTTGTTTGTTTTTCATAGATCAATGCATTTGTTTTCAGGCACTTCTTCTTCACGGCGATGCTATTTGTGTATGGTCGCATTCTCAGTCAGAGGCTTGTGAATGCCGTTACTATGGACAAGTTTTTGTATAAGCTCGTGGGCAGATTAAACAAGTATCATATGGTTACCTGTTATTTCTTATATATCACAGGTTAGTTCGGATAGTTGGTACTACCTGTTTCTTTTCTTTACTTCTCTTCCAATATTCGAAACTAAATAATATCTTCTGTTGGTGGATTTCAGGTTTTATGTGGTTCATTCTTGCACTGAAGAAGAAGATGTACAAGTATCAATTCGGCCAATACGCATGGACGCATATGATTTTGATTGTGGTGTTTACGCAGTCATCTTTCACAGTAGCGAATATTTTTGAAGGAATTTTCTGGTAACACATCTTTGATTTCTTAGTAGTAATAATTTGACATTATTATTCGTTCGCCACTTGCTCTCTCAGTTAAACAAAATATTGTTAACCCCCCCCCCCCCCCCAATTATTTACTAATTGATATTTATATCTAGTTCCTAATATCAAGTAGTGGAACTGACTATGGAATATGTTAATTACATCGAAATATATTATTAGTGTGTGAATAGCTTCAAACAAAGATTAACAACAATGCAGGTTCCTTCTTCCAGCATCACTTATCGTGATCAATGATATTGCCGCTTACATATTCGGGTTCTTCTTTGGGAAAACTCCTTTGATCAAACTCTCACCGAAGAAAACATGGGAGGGATTTATAGGAGCTTCGTTTACAACTATGATCTCTGCCTTCTTGGTGAGCAATTCATGCATTTAGAAGTAAACAAGTTTAATAAATTAGATGATCTTTTGTATTTATCCACCAATTTTGGTCCTGAAAAAAAATTTACCGGTTTATAAAATTTTCGTATTTGCAGATGGCAAATATATTGGGTCGTTTTCAGTGGCTAACGTGCCCGAGGAAGGTACTTGCTGTATTACAAATTTACAATCATTCTTCTTTGGTTAGGTAGTTATATATCTGTTTTCTGGGGAAGCTTAACTTTCTTTTGCATTCTTGATTATATAGGATTTATCGACTGGTTGGCTTGAATGTGATCCTGGTTCGTTGTTTAAGCCGGAATATTTTACTGTGCCGGATTGGTTCCCAGTATGGGTAAGTGCATGTTTATCTAAATAAAATTACGTTTCTCCGCAATTGATAGAACTATCCTAATACCTTA